CTCTGTGTGAGATTTATTGTGTTGTTTGGTTGGTTTTCCTTCAAGTCCTAAAGCTGTCTGTGGATTAACTGTTTGTATAGATTGGAAAAGTTTTTGTTTGGGAGGGTTTCTTATAGATGGGAGGAGCGCTTTTTTTATTGGGAGGGGAAGTTTTTAAAACAACTTGGCTTTCTGCATAAAGCTCCCCCTAGAAGCTTAGTGAAAAAGCCATTTTCTATATCATTAAGCCACTACCAAGTAGTCATGTATAGCTAACCGAATAAGCTGTGAGTCCCATTAAACTGCTAACAAACAGACCCTTAGTTTGGTTTACCATATGCAATGCTACGTTTACATCGTTTGGGTCATTTGACCATATCTCTTCGGAAAAAAATGAACCTTCATTTACATCACAACTCTTTTAGTTATTTAAAAAAAACCTGTTTGAAGCTTATATTTTTGTATGTAGTTCTAACGACGTGCAATTTGCAGATTGGAGATTACTTGGATGTGGCAATACTTTAGACTTCTACGTTGTGTTTAGGTCCCCTGGTGGTTTCGTAGAGTAGTCATGGATCCTGCTATCAATGGTGCGATTTCGGGTTTGTTAAACGATATAGTTTATATTACGCTTGTACTGAAGGAAAATTTTCTAAACGTGTATTCGTGGATGAGTTCGAGTTTGTCACCTTAGAAGTATGATTTATGATCATCTTGGTCTGGAAGTAGAGATGGGCTAATTTAGCCATCTCTAGGCTAATGTAACCGGCCTTTGAGACCGACCGGTCCAAGGTAACTAAACTTGGGCCCATGTGTTAACCGGTTAAAGAAGAGCTATTTTGCATGGGTTAGGGACCGGTAGGGCTCTACCAGGCAACCCAAAAAAATTAAACGGGCCTACACCGGGCTTTCTGGGACCGGTTATGAGGACTGGTTGAGGACCCGATTAAAGGGACTGAAACAGTCATCTTATAAAGTGGAGTTAAACATCGTTCCAACTAAGATACCGACAATAAAGTTCTTCTACCATTAAACGTGTTGCAAATTTTAGTTTTAAACTTGTGTCCCTGTAACGTTTGACGTTTAAAACGCTCAACATAATTTACCACATTCGTATCTAATGATACGAACGTCTTGAAAAATTAAATTTGATTTCGCATCTTGTATGTCGTGTTTTTCTCCATACTCCGTTGGAAGTTATGTTGGCATAATTCGGGATGGAAATAGTCGGCAAAACCCTAGAAATATTTTGATCCATGTTAATACTGGTTTTTTGTAGGGGTAAAATAGTCATTAAGCATATACACGTTTTTTCCATCACGTAGGTGCTAGGGCTTACAAATCGACATTTGATACACATATAAAACGAAACTCGACCCATTTAATGTTTGAACCAAAAAGATACGTTATAAACACCTTATGACCAAATGGAATTGCAATCTATAATGCCACATGAAATGACACTATCAGTAAACCGCAACCACTTTTTGTTAACTTAAAGGAACACACGTTAATTTAAAGTGGGTTAGGACCCCAAAAAAGTTTCAATTATATCAGGACGATATATAGTGGGCACCGACAGCCCGTAAGCTATTACTGAATCCACCAATAGATCTGAGCAATGGTCATTTCGTTGTGGTTACATCGAAACCTATCAATCCAAAAGATATACAATATGTTCATGGACGGACCTAGAGTAGAGCATACGGTGGCACGTGCCACCATATTATTCTTCCAGCGAAGGGTAAAAAAATTTAGGTTCATGAAAGGTGCATTGTATTTTGCTACGAGGGCGCGAACCATGCAAGAGACGATGAACCGAAATCTTAACCTAGAAACAGAAAGACGACATATCGTTCTTCAGCCGATGAAAGAGTCGATCGAGTGAGATGAGGAAAAAAGTGGAACAATGATGAGAGGTGGAAAAAATCGTAAAGGAATCATAACTGGAACCATTTTAAAGTTTCGGGGGATGATTCTTGACTTGTAACTTAGATTGAGACGGGTTTTTTCAAGTTGTTTATTTTTTAGAGATTTACAAGCTGGTAAAAGTTGGGAACGTAGATCATTGTAACCGGTTTGTAATTCCATCATATACGTTTCATAAGCATTTTTGTAGTGAAAACTCTTGACTCGTAACTTTTATCAAGACGATTTAAGGTACTTTCCGTAAAAGATCATACTGATGGTAGTTTAGTAGTGTGTTAAAATCATACAAATCCATTAAATAAAATCAAATGCGACCAAACTGATGGTAAATATGAGGTTGTTTGTTTATCACTTAATAGTTTCATTAAGAGGCAACATCTGAACCGTTAAGAGGTGAATCTTGTTTGGCAAAAAAAAAAAAGTCTGCCTCTTAATGGTTTTAAAATCCTCTGAATGATTTTGCTTAACCATTAAGAGCCTTAATTTCATTGTACACAGTTATCAAACAATTATATTTCATTTTGCACTATATCATTAGAACCTCTTAATTATTCTGACCATTAATCATTCTTCATCTAATCATTCAACGATTGCTAACAGCCATTAAGGGTAAAATTCACCATTATGATTCAGCAGACAACTCATAACTCACAAACATGAATTTTCAACTCAAATTATACCCATATATATATATATATATATATATATATATATATATATGAGCCTAATCAAATGAGAACTAATTAGTTTGTGGTAACTGTGAGAACCAATATTAACCACAAATCAATAGATAAATTAGAAAATTTATAATTTTGGTAATTTTGAATTAAAATATTAATGCAAGGATATTTTTGGTATTTTAAAACTTTCCTCCCTCCTCTCTTCTCTCTCCGGCCACCGTTCGCCCGCCACCGTCCTCCGGTGATACTACAATGGTATCACAATGCATCATATATGTGCTTGGGTATCACATTGATGTCGTTTGTGTGGTTGATCAAAGATGTAACACAGTGGTATCACTATGTATCTTATATATGATTAGGTATCACAATGTATCTTTTGTTTAACAGAGTCAATATTTTTATGTATCACAGTGGTATCATAGTGGTATCACCGGAGGACGGTGGCCGGAGGCCGGAGAACGGTGGCCGGAGAGAGAAGAGAGGAGAGAGGAGAGTTTTAAAATACCAAAAATATCCTTGCATTAAGATTTTAATTTAAAATTACCAAATTTATAAATTTCCTAATTTATCTATTGATTTGTGGTTAATATTGGTTCTCACAGTTACCACAAACAACTCAGTTCTCCCTTGAATAGGCCCCTATATATATATAAAGTAAACTAATCTTGGTCATTGATCAAGAAAATGGATAGATGAGATTGGTTTATACGGTTTACACAAATGAGACAGGTTTTTATTTGAACGCTCCTATATATATATGATCAATGGCCAAGATTAATGGCCAAGATTAGTTTACTTTATTTTAGAAAATTAAAAAAATATATATAATAAAATATTATTTTATTTCAACTTTAAGGGCAAAAATGAAAAACAAAATTTAACATTTGGTAACATCCTTCTCGATATTAATGACACTATTTTCATTTTTTAAAGCAATATATTATTTTTAATTTTAAATCACATCCATCAATAAAATATATCAAAAAAAAAAAATTGAATATAACACACTATATTCAATTATATTGAGTGAATCGTTTCAAATTTTGAATTACATTATATGAATTTGTTTCAAAATTTAATCAACAGACTAATCCACGTAATATTGATCATATTTCGTAATTCTCATTATACTGGTAGATGAAACCGTTACACTTAGATAACAAAAAAAATTCATCGATTACTGACTTCATAAAAGTTTATAATATAACATGAAATTGTTTCACTTATGCAACCATTTCACTTATCAGGCTCAATACTGCCATGAACCAATTTCACTTTCATGAAAACTATTTCATGTACAATAATTTTCTTATTTCACCACCGATTTGATGAAATCATTCCTTTAGTCCTTACAATCATGAAGATTCTGGAGCAGGTTACAATCTTCAAGATTATGTAGCAGATTAAAATTATTTTCCCATTTCATCATGCACTTCGTTCATGACGAGCGAAATACAAAATGACTCAACTACACCATCAATGCAACAGGTTCACCATAAAAATGTTTCGATTCACATAATTTATTTGCAACAAGACCCGGTTTCACGTTCATGAAACCTGTTTCATTTTCCTTTTCATAATTTATTTTCAAAATGCACCGGTTTTATTTTCCTTTTTCATCAACAAAATGGATCAACAACACCATCAATGCAACGGTTTCACCATAAAAATGTTTTGGTTCACCTAATTTATTTGCAACATGAACCGGTTTCACGTTCATGAAACCTGTTTCATTTTCCTTTTCATAATTTTTTTCAAAATGCACCAGTTTCATTTTGCTTCTCATAAAAAAAAGATTAACTACACCATCAATGCAATGAGTTCACTATAAAAATGTTTCGGTTCACCTAATTTCTTTGCAACATGAACCGGTTTCACGTTCATGAAACCTATTTCATTTTGTGGATTTTTTTTTGTTCATCTACGTTTTGATGATTTCATTCTATAATTCAATTATTTCATCAAGACACGTTTCCTGATTATAACTCATGACAATATACGAAATCCAAATTTTTAATATTTTAATATAATTAAATATTTAAATGTTATCATTTATACAATTTCCTTTATTACGTTTCCTTAATTAAGATTTATTAATAACTTCCATATTTAATAAAAAATATTGTAAATGACCGAAATACTCTTATTGATTAAATTTAATTAGAAAAAAAAGAATTTTCCTATTGGTCGAAATTGGTTTACACGATTTCTTAGAAATGCACGATTTTCATTTCAACGTGCCCCTATATATATATATATATATACACACACAATCATACCATCGTTAGTGCAAAATCTCAATTAATTAACGATGCCTGTTATTCTCCCTTTGCCACTAGTTTCTCTCTCAAAAGAACCAAACCCTTTAGTCTTTGATGCATCCATTCTGCAAAATGAATCCAGTATACCCTCACAGTTTGTATGGCCGGACCATGAACAGCCCCGCCGTGAACCACCGCCACCACCGCTTCATGTTCCTCCAATTGACCTAAAAGCCTTCTTCTCCGGCGAACCACTTGCAGTCTCCAATGCAACTCGTCTCGTCAACTCTGCGTGTCAAGAACATGGTTTCTTCCAAGTTTTCAACCATGGTGTTGATTCTAATTTGATCAATGAAACCCACAAGATTATGAATCTCTTCTTTGGGATGCCATTGTTGGAGAAGCAAAAAGCTCAACGAAAGTTTGGTGAATATTGTGGGTATGCAAGTAGTTTCACGAATAGATTCTCCTCTAAGCTTCCATGGAAAGAAACATTCTCTTTTCGGTATTCTTCGGATCCAAAATGCGCGAACATCGTTCAAGATTACTTCGTGAACGTAATGGGAGAAGATTTTAGCAATTTCGGGTACGAAAATCGACATATTTTATGTTCCTCAAGATCGCAAATCTTGATTTTCCTTGCCTAAATCAAGAATCGAATACCCTTTTCATAATTCTATTTGCTTTCTTGTTGGTGAAATAGAAATCGAGATTCACTACAACAAAATCGGGTTTATATGACGCTCCCAAATTCTAAGTGTCCTAATTTAGTTTATAGGACCAAAAAATAATGTGTCATATCTAAAGATATCGTTTTTTGACGTCGTAATAAGTTTTTTAGGACACTTTTATTATAAAACGTCTCATTATCAACTTTATAAGACACTATTTGAAAAACTGTCATATAAAAACAAATGTCCTATAAAAAATTGAGTTTATAGGACATTTTCTCAAAAATGTCCTATAAAGTTGCTAATGCGACACTTTGTATTAAAAAATGTCTTAAAAAACTTGTTAAAACGTCCAAAAACGTCATATAAACTTATTACAACACCTTTAGATAGAACACTTTATATTTTAGCCTATAAATTAAGTCCTATAAAGCGGTCTATTGGGACGCTTAGAAATTGGGAGTGTCCTATAAACCTGATTTTGTTGTAGTGATTCAATTTATCCTTAACACTTTTTATTCGATTTCGCAACTATTTTTGACATTAATGTTGGTTCATGTAGGAGGGTTTGTCAAGAATATTGCGAAGCTATGAGCAAACTATCTCTCGAGATCGTGGAGCTACTCGGAACGAGCCTTGGAATCGATCGATCCTATTTTAGGGATTTCTACAAAGAAAACGATTCGATCATGAGATTGAACTATTACCCTCCTTGTCAAAAACCTAATCTAACTCTTGGAACCGGTCCTCATTGTGATCCGACATCCGTAACCATTCTTCATCAAGACAATGTTGGCGGGCTTGAAGTATTCGTTGACGAAAAATGGCATTCTATCGCTCCTTGCTCCGAAGCCTTTGTTATCAACATCGGGGATACTTTCATGGTTACTAATTCCGAAACAACATTTGCTTGCTTTTTGCTTTTGGTCGCTAATTTGATCGCGTTGATTCAAAATGATAACATTATATGTGCAAAAGATCACGATTGAGACTGTTTTTCACTAACAAAAATTAGGGTTTCATTTGTTTTTTAGGCACTATCGAACGGATTATACAAGAGTTGCTTACATAGAGCGGTCGTGAATAGTGAAACTTCTAGGAAGTCTCTCGCGTTCTTTCTCTCGCCTAGAATGGACAAAGTCGTGAGACCGCCTAAAGCACTGGTTGAGGACGATACACGAAGGGTTTATCCCGATTTTACGTGGTCGAGTTTCCTCGAGTTCACTCAGAAACATTATCGAGCAGACGTGGAAACCCTAGATGCATTCTCAAATTGGCTACAAAACGAAGGAAAATAAGATGCAAACTTTTGTTAACCAACCTAGTTTCAATGTTGTATGATACTGGTTTTGTGAATATGTCATGACCTTAATCTACATTTCGATCGATCGTAAATCGGATTTGAATTTCGAAGCAAATTTATCGACTCGTGATAGAGTGCGTTTTAGCTCATTAAGCCCTAGCTGTAGCTGATTTAGTGTTTGTAATTCGTCGTTGTTAGTGTTTTTGTGTTTGAAAAGCGAAAACTAATAAGTCATGCAACCATGATATATACTATCTATATATGAAATTCATCATCACCCTAACTTTTGAAATAAAACACATATTAATCTACATCTCTTACCCTAAGTCCAAACATACCACTTATGAATTAAGCAATTGGATGATTATTTAATATTATTAATTTTAATCAAATAACTTTTGTTTTATGGAACCAATTTTCAAAACCTCAAACAAAACTTCCAACACTTCTTATTTAAGAGGAGTAATGCTTACCTAGTAAGCGATTATCAATATGAGTCAACACTATAATTTATTTTGATGATTAAGATTTTAGTACATCAAAACATATCAAATGTAACAATTTACTGGGTAAGCGTCGTCATCCTCACTTACCGGGTAAGATTCTCTATTTTTCTTATCGCTCTTACCCGGTAAGATTCTTGACCCTTCTCATGTTCATCCGATGAGGAAATTCATGCGTTAAGCATTTACCAAGTAAGTGTTTAGTAAACAGCCCCTAAATTCATGTTTTCCAAAATATGAACGAAAACAATATTCGTCTATCTTGGTTCTTCAAAATAAAGTTTGAAAGTCGATTCCTTAAACTATGAATGAATATAACGTTGGTTTGATTTTGATACAGTTTAACCGTTTTATAACATGGTATATTATTCAAATTTTTTGATAGAAATAAAAGAACGTATGTCCCATAAATGGGTAGAGGATTTGTCTCTTTTCTTGTTTGTAGAAAGAAACGACACAAAAAACAGTATCGAAAATATCGATGTCAATGACATCATAGAGTAACGATGTGGTTATCTGTATGTACGGTAACGAAAATCAGTGACATAAATGACAAAAAACATGTTGCTAAATTTTAATGACAAGTTGACGTTATTTTCTCTTGTATTTGATTATTTTATCGTAAATTAACCATTAAATTTGTAGAAAAACATTAGGATTTAAAAGAATTTAAGTGTTTTAATATAATTGATATGCATAAAAAATATTGTAGCTAAATAAAATATATATAAATTTATATTTATATATAAAAGCACATTCAAGAAAAAACTGATTAGTTTATGATAACCGTGAGATGAATTACTTATTTGAGATATTTAAGAATTTTTACTTAAATAAGTTAAAAGGGTAATATAGTAATTCTATTCTTGACAACTAATCAAAATATTTAATTAAATTTTTTAGAAGGAAATATTTAATTAAAATTAGTTACTTAGTTTATCAATTACCTAATATACATCGTATTTTAAAGACGTTTGTGAATCAAAGTGTATCATAGTGATAACGTTCACATGGTTTCACGTGTATCACAATGTATTTTCTTTGTTTTATGAAATGTCTCATAGTGTGCATTTTCATTATTTTCATTGTTTTACAAAAGGTATCACATTGTACATCTTGTATGTATATATGGGCATCACAGTGAATATCGTTTGTAGGTATCACAATGTGTATCTTGTGTTCACATAAAGTTCATCGAAATAAGGTTCGCTGAATAAGATTTGCCGTAGAGAGGAAAGAGAAGAGATGAGAGATGATATTAATAAAATCCCTAAAATACCCTTAACTGACATTTTAAGTTAAAATTACCATAATTATTACTTTCCTAATCTAACTTTTGATTTGTGGTTGAGATTGAATCTCACGATTACCATAAACAAAACAGTTCTCATTTGATTAATCCCCTATGTGTGTGTGTGTGTGTCAAATATATAAAAGTGTTCTAATTTAACACTAATCGTTTAAAAATGATTAGTGTTATTCTGATAAATAATATAAAGTTAAGTAATTAAAATATAACGTCAGTATTTAACACTTTTGATTAGAAACAGTTCTACACGATCTTATAAAACACAAAAAAAATTAAAAATTAGGATTAATTTAATGATTTAGATGAATTATCGTAGGTAAAGGGTATCTAATTCTATTATTAAATTTGCAAAAAAATCCAATTATTTATATGTAATTTAATTTTTATAAGTGCTGTTTAAAATTGTCTGTTTTGTTAAATTATAACTTGTCTGAATGCCTTTGTTTAACCATTTTTTTTGTACATATATACATATATATACATATACATATATATATATATATATATATATATATTACTTTATATTCTCTTACCTTTTCATCCTTATGAAACTATGCATGTACTTATATTATACTTTAAACATCAAGATTATGACAAACAAATAAGAAATTTATGGTTATGATTTTTCTCATACTTTTAATAACTAAATCTTGATTAAGATCACTGCAACAAAATCAGGTTTATAGGACACTCTCAATTTCTAAGCGTCTTAATAGATTTTTTTATAAGACTTAGTTTATAAGACCAAAAAAATAAAACGTTATATCTAAAGGCGTTGTAATAAGTTTATATGACGTTTTTTGATGTCGTAATAAGTTTTTTAGGACAATTTTAATATAAAGCGTTTCATTAGCAACTTTATAGGACACTGTTTGAAAAACTGTCATATAAAAACAAATGTCTTATAAAAAATTGAGTTTATAGGACACTTTCTTAAAAATGTTCTATAAAATTGCTAATGCGACACTTTGTATTAAAAATGTCCTAAGAACTTGTTAAGACGCCCAAAAGCGTCATATAAACTTATTACAACAACTTTAGATATGACACTTTATATTTTGGTCCTATAAAGTCTTATAAAACAGTCTATTGGAACGCTTAAAGATTGATAGTGTCCTATAAACCCAATTTTTTTTACATGAATTTGAACAGTTTTAATATTGTTAAACATGTCTTTCATTAACGATAAATCTTTTTTAAATATATTTAATAATTAAATGTAATTGATGTGATTTATCAAAAAAATTCATCACTATAAGATCAAAATGACTCATACATGCATTTGAGTAGATCTATTAGCAATCCTCCAAAATGATATATACTTAGATGAATAAAAAAAAACACAAGTTTATAAATAAGCTCAAGTTGATAGTCTCTCTCTCTCTCTATATATATGTGTGTGTGTGTGTGAGAGAGAGGGGGGGGTTAAGTTCACGTGAAACCAGTCTGTTTTCGTGAGACCATTTTTTTACGATTGAAACTTCACAGGAAAACGTTATGAAGGTAAAAGAAAGCCGAACATTCACAGCAAAAACACCGTGAATGTTACTTTCACAGCGTTTTGCTGTGAAGTTTCAAATGTAACACTATAACAACATGGGCTTTATAGGACACCCCTAATCTCTAAGCGTCCCAATAGACCACTATATATGACTTAATTTATAGGACCAAAGTATAAAGCGTCTTATCTAAAGATGTTGTAATAAATTTATATGACGCTTTTGGACGTCTTAACAAGTTTTTTAGGAAATTTTTAATACAAAGTGTCACGTTAGCAAATTTATAGGACACTTTTGAGAAAGTGTCCTATAAACTCAATTTTTTATACGACATTTGATTTTAAATGACAGTTTTTCAAATAGTGTTCTATAAAGTTGATAATGGGACGCTTTATATTAAAAGTGTCCTAAAAAACTTATCACGACGTCAAAAAAGGTCATATAAACTTATTGCAACACCTTTAGATATGACACTTTATTTTTTTAGTCATATAAACTAAGTCTTATATAGAGGTCTATTAGAACGCTTAGAAATTAGGAGTGTCCTATAAACCCGATTTTGTTGTAGTGTAAAAAAGTGATCTCACAAGTTTCATGAAAACAGACTTGCAGTCTCACATGATCCCAAGTAAGTATGTATGTATGTATATATATATATATATATATATATATATACTTGGGATCATGTGAGACCAATGGTTTTTTGTGAGACCCATAAGACCAATTCTCAACCATTGGATTAAATACAATCATCATATCTCAACATTCATAAACGCCACGAGACTTCTCAATAATTACAAAATTGCCACCGTGCAACTTTAGACCATTAGATCATTAGCTTATAAAGTTGATCA